TGGAAGAGTACGGGAGGACAGGAGGGTTCGCGTTGTCTTATCACACACTATGATCCCTTCTATTCGTCTACACTCTCCCAATACACTAGCGGCTGGCTCCGCTCGATGCCAACGTCCATAGCGGCGCCGATCGATACCGGCGTTAGTAGCGCGTCGACGCGCGTCATCGCGAAGTCTGAACCTGACCTACACGCTACCTAACCCCATTGCCGCAATCTGTCGGTTCGATGTCAGGAAGCAGGATATCCCACCCGCGGTGTTTTCAACCTCTGAATGTTTTCTTCTTGAATTCAATCGCTAAGCAGTCACTACTGGTGGAAAATACAGTCGTGGCTAGCTCATTCCACGCCTCCTTATACCCCGCCCCGACTAATTGCGACGATATCCACTGTATTCCAGAGGGCGACGGCATATCACCGCATTGGTTTGCTATCTTTGAACTCGTCTATCTTGCGATATTCGTCGTCGCTTCAGTTGCCATTCATATGCTTGGCTTCATTAAGGTGACTCCTTCATTGGTTCAAATTCGTGATCTCTGTAAACGATAGCGCGTGTGAGGGGGCATGAATTGGATCGCAGCCAGAATAGCCTTTTCGGCCAATCGCTACGATCTAGGATGTCATCAATGATGGAAAGGCAATCCACGCCTCGTCACACGCCCTATTCTTCGCAGGGATCATGACTACTGTAGTCTAACTTTACCCCCGTGTACGAGAGTTAATGGAGTTGCCTCCTGGTTAGGTCCACTTTTCGGTAGAAAAATCTCCTGTTTCAGACAGACGAAGATGCCGTCACAATGCACCATCGGATACATAAAGAAATCATAGCTCAGCAGGAACAAAACTTCATATCTCAGAAGAAGGTGGGCGAATTGTAGATCAGTTCAGGGCACTTCATTTTGGGGAGGGGAGGGGTCGTCTTCGAGCTGAGAAAAATTCTTTGGATAGTTGATTTTTCTTGTTTCAGGGACGCGGGGGGTCGTATTTTCCCGTTGTTGTTGGAGGAGGAGGAGGAGGAGGAGGGGGACATTCTGCACGTTTGCTAGTTCCCATCGACGTGCCGAGCCACCCACAGAGCTACTTCATGAGCTCACAAGAGTTCACAGGCTTTACCTTAGTGGCTAGACAAGCTTGCTCCAGTTCACCAGTGTTTCAAGAGTTTACAGGTTTTACCAGAGTGAGACTTGTAAACTAGTGAAGCAGAAAATGTGCAAAATGCCCCCCCCCCTCCGCATCGACAGCTCGATGAGGAGCGAACCCGGGGGGGGGGAGTCGTACCAGCCCCCTAAAAAAAGGTGGGGGGGGGTCGTACGTATTCGAGCAAAATCCCCAACCAGTGATGTGCTCTGGATCAGCTAGGCGCTGTTCGGCGACAGGGGAGAGAGGGAGGCATTTTGCCCTTTCGCTGCTTCACTGGTTTCGGTTTACAAGTCTCACTCTGGTGAAACCTGTGAACTCTTGTGAAGCTGGAGCAAGCTCGTCGAGCCACCATGGTAAACCTGTCAACTCTTGTAAGCTCATGAAATAGCTCTCTGGGTAGCTCGGCACGTCGATGGGAACTAGCAAAAGTGCAGAATGCCCCCTCCCAACCTCCCTTTCCGCCGAACTGCCGCGATCATTCATTAGGCTTATATGGTACTGTCATCTGCGAACGATCCTGGAGCCCGCCCATGTTCCAGATCAGTAACTTCTACTTGTCAGAGAGGCTAAGGAGTTTCAGAAGTTTGGCCCGCTGGGAGGGGAGGGGAGCTAGAGTACTTATGTACTTGTTTTGATTGCGACAGAGACAAATAAGTCCAGAGCCCCGATGTTTTGGGCATGTTATTCTGCCTATTGGTTCCATGAAAGGAGTCTATCAGAATAAATGAGATTTCAACGACATTATTGACTTGTTTTCAGGAAAATTTCCTTCGAAGATAGCCCTCAGGGGAATTAGCTTGCTGCTACTCGCTCTTCATCTCCATCTTCGAAATGGTTCTTTCTTGTTGCACGAATGAATTGAAAAATCGAACTTTCGAGTGAATATTTGCAAATAAATCGATAGAGATCGTTTCTTTGATCGATTTTCTGTTGGTCAAGAAAGTGATGCTAGCGTGGGGGGGGGGAAGTTGGCGTACAACAAGCAGAAAATGGAATGGATTGAAAAACGGTCCCATTGGCTACAGATGTACACTTCATATCCCTCAAATAGGCAGAGGTGGTGTAGTGGCAAGCGGCGCGCTTACCATGTGCTTTGGCCTAAGGTCAGACCCCAGCTCGGGTCCTGCCCGCTCAGAAGAAGCCTTCTACCATTTGTGAACCTTAAATTGGTAACGTATTTGTCCACGGGAAGTAGCAGAAGTGCGAAAAGTCCCCTCCCCCCTTCCCCTCGCACTCCCCTCCTCTTCAAACAGGACTGCGCCGTAACGCATTCAGAATCACTACGACTATAAATGGACGTAGATTGGGTGACGATCTGGAAAGGGTTTGATCAATGGACAAAGTTTCGTCCTTTTTTCCTTTTACCTCCTCGAAGACTCATGGGCGCGCGGTCGCGTCGCGTGCCCACGCTCCGCCCAGCGGACGATGCAGTGACGTCAAGTGAATTGATGGATAAACTTGTTCGCTGCAAATGCTGGGGCGTGGGCTGGGTTTGACATGGTGCCGCCCTGTTCTCCACCACATTCTAAAAGGGTAAACGACAACCACTGATGGAAATTTGGCCGGTGCCGCGCCAACCCACCACACTCGCCCCCTGAAACGCCTCCGCATCTGTAGCGACGAAGACTTTACCTGTTTGGAGCGAATGTGAAAAAGAGGCAGACTTCCTGCGAATATGCACCCCATATTCTACGGAGAGACTGGGCGGAGTGCGGGCGCCGCGCGCAATGGTTTTGATGCTGTTAGCGCGAGACGCGACGCGACCGCTCACATTCACCCTGCATCGATGAAAGTGTCGCTGCAGTTCGATGCTGGACGCGACGCAACCGCACGCTCGTAGTTTACCCCATCTTACTGACGTGCAATCTGCAAGATGGAGTAAAGATGGTGTAGATGCTGCAAAGAAATCATTAAACTGTTCAGCTGCTGAATAGTTTACATCATAGCAAAATTTATATCACATTCAACAAACAAAACATTCAATCAATAACGATCAATATGCATGTGGAACATTTGCACGAAGCTTGGCGGAAGAATCAAGACGAGGAGCGCGAGCGGGACGGGTAGAAGAGATGCATGTAGTGTTGGGGAAGAGCTGAGCCTTATTACTGGGTGTAGCATTTCATGCCATATGGTGCAATACACCATAGTACACCATGGCACAATACGCCATGGTGCAGAGATGAGTCTGGGCACCCAGAAATCTCTCAGAAAATACTGCGAATTCACTATAAATCATATATAATCACACTGAGGAATACCACATAACACGAGAGAAACAAATGAATAAAATTACAGATGAACATTAAAATTAATTAATATGTAATAATACTTAAATAGCACATATTCAGACACCAATATATCCTAGATGGGGGGAGATTCAAGAGGTCGAAAGAGTGCGTGTATATGTGCGGCGGTAAGAGCGCGGTACAACGGGACAGAATAGAGACCATGGAGACCGGGAAAGAGAAGAAAACGAAACGAAAAAACGCTTAACTACAAGTACCGGGAATGAAACGACTAACTATGTGAAAAGCTGGGCTATTGCTGGAAGAAAAGGCTCGAGCTGGCTGGGGCTATCTGACTTGTATTGTGGCTAAGAATACAGTAACGGAATACGGTAATAAATAATTAGTGAAAGATGCATGAAATGATTGCCAAAATTTGCACCGTGAAAGATCACTGTTAATCAGATGATATCGTTTGAGGAGTGGTGTTCTCTCGAAGGTTAAGCGAACCGTTCAGATGATCTTTGAGATGTTGTTCCAGTTCACTTGGCGATGCACAAACCTAAAATGCATTGCATACAGTCTGGGTAAGTTAACGGGCAAATTGACCTGGTAGGAAGTTAGGTGCAGTTCGACTTGGCGGGCGCGCCAAATGGTAGTTAGGGAGCTAGTTAATTTCCCTGTGAAGACCTGTAAGTTCCTGTAACCAGGGTGGCTCACTCCATTTTACAGCTTCACTGGAGTTTACGGATCTCGCCAAAGTGTAACCTGTTAATATGAACAAGCAGAAGGAACTGGCAAAAGTCCAGCATGCCCCTCCCAGGCCGAACAAAATTCTAAAGGTCTCTAACACAATAAGATAACAAAAGGTATATATGTCCCTCTGACAAAGCGCGCTAAAAGTAAAATAACAATGCTGTACTTTGTACTTTGGCTCTGCCACTACCAAGCAGAGCCAAGCAGCAGAAAGGGAAAATTTTACAACAGTACAACGACGCCACAAACTGTCTTTGCCGACATCCCACATACACCCGCGAGTGGGGGGGGTGTGTGTAGAGAGAAATACGGGAACAAATACACCCCCCCCCACCCAGTCCAGGACATTTCAAGGCACGCTTGACCCTGTATCAAGTACGCCTTCTGGTCACGTCATACAGGTATCGAGAAAGCCTAGCACGAAAATCATATTTGAGTGGCGCAAGGAAGAGAAGCGTACTGACTTAGCGCGGTGAATTCTGTTCTATGGATAGTTCTTTCCCTGTTTTCACGCGCTTGGTCATCCACATTGTTGGGAAAACTTTCAGTTGGGGGGGATGGTCATATTTCCTAAGAAGAGAAAAGAAGTGCTCTGATGCCTTTGTCCGCGAAAAACCAAGCAATAGCTCCCTATTTTTATTTGCCTGTGCACTACACCAGACAGGAGATGCAGGCTACCGTGGACCTTTTTCTTTCCCGAAAGCATAGCAGGTGTTATTCGGCTAGGAGGGGGCATATTGTGGTTAAGCTAGTTCATTCCGTTTATTCTTGCAAACTACCGAATCTCTGATTCAACATACCGGTAGAGTACAGTGAAGCTGGATAAATATTTGTTTTCAAAGTGAGCCCCACTTTGCTACACGAAATTAAATAGTGCTCTTCAACAAGGTGCATCTGCTTCGAAACTGAACTGTGGGAAGCATTCAGCCTGCCCCCACCAAGCCGAAATGCGCCCTAAAGACCCATTTCACGGGTTTCTGATTTCCAAAAATCCTCACCTTCTGGCAAACAGAGCACACCGTCCGCCAAAGCATCATCATCATCTCCATGTTTGTGGGACCGAATAGTCCAAAGTGGTGGAGGCATTGGAAGAGCGCCACCGCCCGGCAACGAACCAGGACGAGGTCCAGCCTCTTCAGCAGGACCACTGTCGAATATTCGCGCCCTGCATCATCTATGTCTTGGATAAGAGCATGTCATGAATAAAGGGGAGTCGCTTCCTCCACCTCTTGACTGGGGGCTTTTGCTATGCCACAATGGAAGTACCCATATGGACCTTGAGATTCCCCCTTGTTGTAAATGCTCGACCACACATCTCGCATTTGAAGGGCTTGTCACCTGAAATGAAAAATTTTCTATAGTTGATCAAACCGGTCACCTCTGAGCCCTAGACAATGTAAGAAGAATGTCAGTACAGACCGAATTTTACCTGTATGGGTCCTCATTATGAATCTGCAAGGCTGAACTAGAACTGAAGTGCTTGAAGCAGACAGCGCATTGATGTTTTGACAGAACTGGCAACTGGAAATAAGGTCCTGCTTTTGATTTGCTGTAAACTTCATAGGCAGGTCCATGCTGAGCATATGGGCGGAGTCGGACTATAATTGTGGCTGAAGCTCATATCGCAGACGCATTCCCTCTACTTCTGAGAAAAGCACAGCATGACAAACGCAATGTCACGCGTATATGTTCAGATCAGCATGAAATGTGCCTTTAGGCCCTCTCGCGAAAACAGGCCAAACCTCCCTTTACTGAGGCAACCAACCTGCCGAGGTGGAGGCGGTTCTGTTTCCGCCCACATCTTCTGCATAGCTTCCAAAGGGTTATCGACCGGAAGAGTTGGTGTGCTTGGAGCCGCCTGAAATATTCATATGTAGTAGAGGGTAATGCAGGAGGAGTGGGGTCAGGAAGTCCGACAGTTTCGCTTGAATTGGCGAAAACTCTGCTCGCCGCGCTCCTAACTAGGTTTCTAGGCAGTTGACTCGATATGCCGCTAATGTCTTTCTTTGGACTACCTGACCCATACTGTAGGATGCCACTGCAAATGACAAGGGGATGTAAAAGATACCGGTCGCTCCACAGCAGTGATGGTAGGCGCTTCTGAAGGCTGTTGCTGGGCTGCTTTGCGATCGTCGGCAGATTCGGATTCCACTGATCGTCCCATGGATGATGCATCAGTGCTGAATTTTACCAGTTATTCTTCCATCCATAAGAACAGAGCCACTGGCAAAATCAGTTGCCCTAGCCCGGTCCCAAACTCGGACCTCGTCTTGTTCTTGCTATTGCTACTCAGGTGATGAAACCGGTGAAAACTCACTGTTCATGATTTTGCTCGGTTGAGACCGAAGCCTCACTGCTTCCTGAAGGAGAAATAGACGAGACTTCTACCTTTGGCAGTTCCAAATTTGCTAGCGAAGGGATTTTCAAGTGATCTTCTTGCCTGGAAAAAACAATACAAATTTAATCCTTTCCAATGAGACTCTTTTCCATGTAACAGTTCCTGTTGAATAAAATATTCACGAGCATGATGTGTGGAGAGAGGCGCTGCTTTCACTTTGCGCTATCAAGAGATCCGACCCCGCTCAAGCCTGTCTTTGCCTTTTTCACAGCCCTTCAGAATGTCAGGATCAACGGCTGGATAAAGCTACTCCTGTCTAAGAGGTTGGCCAGCTCGTTGTTGGGCCATCAGAAAAGTTGGCACTCCTCTCTGCTACCGCTCCCTCAATGCGACCCCCCCACCTTGTATCCATATCTGACATTACCTTGAAGCACCCGGGGCTCTTTCCCCCCTTGATTTCCTTCACTCTTTCACAATAATGTAATGTACAGCAGGGTCTCTACAATGGGCGCGTGACAGGGGCGTGGCTTGGAGCACAGCCAGGGCAGATTTTCCACCGATTATAACGGCCCGAGCTGGCTTCAGTGGTGGAAAAGGCGGCACTGGGTGCGCTCCAATCACATATGTCACACGCGCTATCGCTTGCAGGAACCTTGACTGTACACCCCTCTTGGCAAACCAAATAAGCTTTCCCTGCAACAATTCAGAGCCAGCCCTGAGTAGCGCCAGTTTTTGCACTACACGTCCTTTCAATGCCCTCCTCAAGATCGTTTTTCTATCACTTTCTGCGGATGCTACACTGAAATAATTTGCAAATTTTTTCCTTTACGTCATTCATTTTCACAAGCTCAAATTCGCTAACTGTTCAAAATACCTGGATTCTTCCTTGGACTCGGTGTTCGGCTCTTCTTCTCGCCTCTGGTCGAGTTGATTTCCAAGCAGTTGGGCGAGGTTAAATGGAGCTGGTGTGCCGTTTTGCGCAGCCGGATTGAAAAAGGGAAACAAAGGCGGGAACGGCGATGGGAACGGACTGAAATGTTCTTTTAAGAACTGCTGTACTTTTTGTATAAGTTATGACTTTCTTTTTATTGTATGTCTCTCTCAACTAACCCAGCTCTTGAGTGTGGAAGGAGCTTCGGCGTGGAAGGAGACGGCGGCGGTAAATGTCTGCCAGTCAACGCTTGAGTATGCTCTGAGATGTGACTCTGCAGCTGCATACCAGTCATAAACCTGTAAGAACAATAATCAAAAGCCATTTCCATGTAAAACACTAGAGACTCAGAGTGCAGTCCGCACTTGTCGAGTGGGCGGAGTCAGTGTACACTTGTACCTCCCTCATTTATGCGCCCTTTCTAATGCGGTGAAGATAATGGCCACTGAGGAAGGTGCAGTGGCGCACTGTACTCCGCCTATACGATCGGCGCCAACACGCCCTAAGGTTGTTGAGAGCGAGTAAGGAGGGGGTTGCAACAAGACTGGAGAGTTTACAAGACGTGGACAGGACAGGTAACGGACCACTGCTACCCTGTGCCTCAAGTTCCTCTCCCAAGAGCCATTGGAAATGGAAACACGCGGCGCTGTTCGGCTTCGGAGGGGCCTTTTGCACCTTTACTAGTCACTGTGAAAATAAATGCCACACCCTGGTTAGACAAACAGACTCTTGTTGAGTGGAAGCGAAGCTTTTAATACTGCATGCTTTACAGGACTTTACAGGTTTTAACAGGAAGCATCGACAGCGATCGACGGGAATTAGCGAAATGCCCCTTCCAAGGCAAACTGTGCCACAAATTTCTCACTAGCGGGGCACTATGGAAAGAACTCACGAGTGCGCCCTGATGATACTTAACCCGAAGGTCCCTCATGTAGAACAGATTTTTTTCAGCGTACGCATTAATTAGTTCTATCTGTTACTTTTTACTAACCTCTTCTGACAGATGGGACACTGTTGCGTTTGTTGTAGTGGAGGAGGAAAGCCGTTGAGTCCTGCCATTGGCGCGGCCATCGGACTACCCATAGGACCACCCAAACCGATTGGAACACCACGAAATGAGTGTTTGGCTCGGTGTACACCCATATGTGTCTTCAAATTCCCTTTCGTAGTGAAAGCACGTTGACAGATTTTGCACTTGAATGGACGTTCACCTGAAACATTTCAACTCTAACAGTATCTCTTTGTAAACCTTGTCCCACTTATCACCAATCATTAATCGATAATCAAAGTTGTCCTAATTAGAGGGGTAGACACACGCATACCGGTATGAGTACGGTAGTGCATTTGTAGCGCACTTTTACACGAAAGCACTCTCCTGCACAGAATACACTGATTGGGATCGGTTGTTGGCATGGCCTTGTCTCCGACCAGGGCTCGAATCTTCTCGGCTTCGTCACTGGTCGAGATCTGGAACGGAGCCAATTCGGAATGGATGAGTTTCTAAGGTAGAACTGAGCCCAGTAGGGTTCAGTCTTACCTCCATAAGCGCTTCCCAGTCATCCTCCGTGCTCACATCGGGCCGCTGCCCGAAAATGTCCTGCCGCGGATCAAACGGTGGTCGCATAAAGACTGAAATCGTTTAGATTAGGGGGTTCTTAGGCCAAGGAACCCTAGAGTAAGGCATTTTCCAGGCAGGAAAGAGCCTTCCAGCTCGAGCTTGGTAGCTCTACCCAGCACAATAATATGCCAAAAACTTACACGGATGAGGAGGATGCGCATTGTGAATCGTGAATGGAGGAGGAACCGAGAGAGGAAACAGATTTGCAGGCGGAGAGCAGAGAAATCCTCCTCCTCCTCCTCCTTGCCGTTGTGGGAAAAACTGCCCAAATATAGCTGGTGGTGGAGGGGCATTTCGAGTCTTCTCCACAAGAGAGAAGGAGGGTCCAGCAACTGCTGGCACCGATCCACGATCGGCATCAGGACTGGCTGCTGACGATCGACTACAGCCTGCCGAGGAAGCACGAGGAAGAGCCGATGAGCAGTCGTGTTCACGAATCTGAAAAGAATTCCGATTGAAGGAGTGAGCTAAGGGGGCCAGCAAAACTTGTCGTACCTGGTCCCGATCGCCGAAACGCATGCCACATTGGCTGCATCGTAACAGTTTCTCGTTGGGGTGCTTCTCCATGATATGCCATAATAAAGCACCGCGCGATGGAAACGTCTGAAAACTGGTGCTTGACGATTTGAACACACGAACGACCCTGCACTTGTCCTGTCCCCCCCCCCCCCAAGTCAATGCGTGGGCCAAATCGCATTCAACACCTACTACGGTCCGAAATGGAAGAGGAATGCGTGGCGTACTCAAAACAGGGGACGACCAGGGGACGACTGACTGCTTTATGGTTTTTAAGCTTCCTGTTTTGCTTCGATACCCCAGAGTAGGGATGAAGCCGCTTCATTCTTTTCATTTCGAGAAATCAATCTTTATTTCTCTCTCAAACGGGGTACGTCCTGCCGTTGAGGAAAAATTTTACAAGATACAACCTTCCTCCCCCTCTCCGAAATTTTCTCTTCTGGTACGACCTCCCTCCTTCTCCATCCCCATCTAACCTACCATCTCTCCAAGTTCTTCTAGCTTCCTACCATTTTTCCAAGATTCTTTCCAAAAATTCTCCACTTCACCCCCAAAACTGCCGTCGAGTGTAAGGTAGGGGCATGAGAATCTTCCTCGCTGGGTATCCCAGCGTATGACGTGCCCTGTTTCCAAGGGTTTTTTTTGACGCGCTATGAAACTCTCACCAACATTCCCGCACCGTACGACCCACGGGTCATTGACGATGACACTGTCCTTTACTGAATGAAGGTAAACGGTAACCTACCGTATCCCCTGTTACTCGTCCAAATCACTACTATGCCTTGGTTCCAGGATACAAAGGATTCAAAAAGAGAATAATGCTGCGCTTCCGAAATTCTGCTTGCTGGAAATGCGCCATGCCCTCTCAAAGTGTAGGATTCTGCTTGAAGGCGTATTTACGCAAAAATAACCCATTAGCGCCCATGCGAGTTGTCATCGTTAGGGTTGACCCAGACTTCAGGACACGACGTAGCTTGAGTGGGAGAATGTTACGGGGAAAGACCTAGGGAAATGGAACAACTACCATGTCTCGTGCAGATGTGGTCCCCTCGACTTAAACGCAATTTCTCCTGTAAAACTTTCGCGGCGCGTTGAGGAATGGGAGGGTGGTCATGAGGGGTGTGGTGCAAACTGTTTTTATATTGGGTTCTTAGTTCTCTTTTTATTCTCTATTTTTTTTTGCTGGAGTTGCTAATGATCGATCAACCAGTTTATTCATCTGAGGTTAGCGCTGAGGATGGTTGAGAAGGGAATTGTGCTAATGGCGCTTCCCTTGATTCGGTCATGAGGTTACCTTTGCGTTACACGGGTCCAGGGTGGTGAGTCTCACCCCGGACCGTGTAACTGCGAATCAACCCTGTGACTCGACGCTGAAGAATTTTTCGATCTGGCTGAGATTTTTGGTCTCGCTTTATAGCCAGCCTTAGGAGGTGGCAGTAACCAGCGCGCTACCCATCCGCCTTTCCTCAGGACCTCGTGAGATGGCCGGCTGGACAACTTACACTCTAGTCTTTGAGGTGGCGAGGTAACCTTCAAGGGAGACGTTCAAGACTCTAGTGGAGAACCGGTAAACTAGAGTACATAAGCAACTTTTACCCAAGTCGAAATGGAGAGGTGCTTGATAGTGGGTCAAACCCGACTCTTGTCTTAAGTTATGCGCTCTCTCCTTTCATTCTTCCTCTTCGTTTTCTTTCCTTCACTACTTCTTCCTCCCTCTCCAAACTTTTCTCCCTTCGATATGGTCAGGTTCGCCAAACAATTGCGACTGAGAAGACATCCCTGCAAACCTCAGCGAGAGAATTACCTCGGTGGCGTAACGTATCGAGCTAACGACGAAATTTTTATTTGTGAGACCGTCATACTCAATTTCTGCCGCAATGGGTTTCTTTAGATGCCCCCTCCAAGCCCAGAGCTAGCACTGCGTATGACACAGGAACTGCTAACTCGCGTGGCTCAATGGTTCTAGTTTTGCGAGTGTTCTCCTCGTAACCTCTTTTTTCTTCTCCAATAACATTACTCAAGTGTCAGCCAGCGTCCCCGATGCTCCAGAATTTCCATATTGGGAACGACCATCAAAACTCTCCGTTGTTAGGATTTCCTGAGAATCTTTGATCGTCTGCTCACAACCTTGGCGGTCGGGCAGAGGCGGCTTCAGCGAAAACCCCTGTGCAAAAAAAACTAGAGGCTTACTGTGAATGAAAGACGAGGGTATGTGGTCATAGCCTAAAAGCAGGAGATTTACTAGGTGATGATGAACCAGGCACGATAGTTTTCATCCGTGCGTAAGCGTAATCGAGTAGGCAAGAGGTGGTGTAGGGCGTAAAGTGGCACTGGTACCACGTTCGCAGTGTCGTGGTGAATCCGCGACTTGCATACCCACTCGCCAAAGCCATCCAAGCTTACCCTACCTGGACCCGAATTCTAGGTTACCTGCTGGGGAGCGACACAATCTGACTAGGCACATCGCGTGCCGCAAGTCTATTCTGAAGGCCTACTGTTAGCAATTCGCGTAGAGCCACGACGGTTCTGAGTGGAAGTAACCCTTATCCTAAGACGGGCTAGGCGGGCACTTGAACATGGTATAGGATGGGTTACTTGTGCGTTCTTTCAACCTGAGACAACTGTTAACTTGTTCTGAGCTGGACAAAGGCATGATTACAACTACCCAAAAATGAAAATATCTCACGAAAAGCCTAGCTTGCCACCACCTTCAGTACTTTCAAAGTCCGCCAGCCCACGCCTACCCCGTCTCAGGGATTTCGAGTGAAGAATGCGTGCAAAAAGAGTGTGATTTACGGCGTGTCCTCAACCCTTTTAACGTTAATCCTTGTTTAGCACTAGGAGTCCTTTAATGCCCCCTCCAAGGATATTATCGCCAGTACTGTTTCTGGAAGTGGAACCATTAACTCGCGTCGCTCATTGGTTCTAGTTCTGTAAGTGTTTTCTCCTCGATTTTTCCATGAAATCATCAAAGTGTTCGCGCATTAAACCCCGTCGTCATTCCTCTTCCATCGCCTTCTGTGTGCAGCGGGTTTTTTCAATGTCTTGTGCGTTGCCCCATAATGCGCATTGCTTTATTGCTTTTCTATTGAACAGTCGTCGACCGATCTAACGACGCTGCCATAACTCGCGCAGTGGAAGCGCCCCAGCGTAAAAACCCGCCTCTATTGCCCGCGCAAAAATTGCGAATTGGCCAACAGACAGAGGAGCCGCCGTCACGACTACTGTCAAAGCAACAAAACCCACCTGATCACAACCCGTTGCAGGACATTCAAGCGAAAGCGATGGTGCAGAAGGGATGGACGTCTCCATCGGGACTGCTGTGGACGCTTCTGAAGGAGCTGCCGTTCTCGCGGCACTGTCACGACTAGCCGCCAGATGAGCACATAACGACAGAATCTGCAATAATCAGAATTAGTGGGGCTAAGTTCGTCCCTGAAGGGCCATACGAAGGCTATCGTACATTTTGCGGGGTGGTGAGGCTGGCAAGCGATTCAAGAAGTCGTGCTCGTTGATCACCACCAAATAATGTTTGGTCGAGCTTCTTCGTAGAGAGATCAATCGGACAGGCATCCATCGCCTGCTGATCGTCAATGTCGTCCATGTCAGTCGTCGGTGCTGAGGTTCCTGAACAGAAAACCCCATTTCAATACGGTACTTTTCCAAGAGTAGCAATATATTGGAACGGCTTTGAGGCCTAACGGGCGATGACGACGGTTATGATGACCGTCACCATCGAGGAATGATCAAAAGTGCAAAGCTGAGGGAATGAGGGAGGGAGGGGGCAAGGGGCACGGACGGAAGCCCCGCTTAGCACCAGCGCCCGTGTGTCTCCGTTTGTTCTCTAATGCGCACACTATTTGCGTATCATATCGTCTAGTGACCGATCGAATGACGAAAACCACTGTGACGAAATATACGGGACGGGGGGGGGGAGGAAGGGGAAAGGAGCGCTGTTTTTTGGCAGGCTAAACTGGACATGTGGAGTGATTCAGGGGTGGGGGTTGTAGTAGATGGCAGGTCTTTGCGAGGTGGCTTGTACAAGCTACTTACTATAAGGTGGCCACACCATTTGGTGCCCCTACCACGCCGATCTGGGCCTAGAGGATGTGATACGACAAATATCCTTTACCACGGTTTTATCCGGAACGCGGTTACCATAAACCTCTCGACACACAACTCTGCGGGCCGTGTCAGCTGGGCCATGGATTTTGGCGCGGCGCCAACCCTTCTCTGTTAATAGCTGCGGTTCAGGCATGCACTGCATAGGGGTAAAGGGGTAGGCGTTACGGCGACACGTTTTGGCTGTCTGACTTCAGTGACAGAGGACTGTATCAGTGCAATTGACCGAATACGACCCTCTAATAGAATACGACCCCATCAAATGCTCAGCGATGATGTACCCTGATTGACGCAGGCTGGGGCTGCTACTCAGCATGCACTCTGCAAAATACGCCCCGCCATGGCCATCACCATCAAGACCATTAATCCCCACCTACACTTCCCAATTAGAGCGGGTAGCATATCCCTCAAGCTCAGGGACACACCCGGAGGCGACTGTTGCTCAGAGGTGAGATATTTTATGAGAAAATCTTGGACTATGGTCGAGTATGGTTCTCACTTACAGGTTCGTGAACAACCAACTACCTCGGTGAAAAATTCCAAACCTAGCGCACCAGATGCCCTTCCTGATGAGTTGCATGAAGTCCTGTGATAAAGGCAGAAGGGCCATTGATCTAACAGCCCAATGTGATCGGGTTTGTTGGCCATGAGGTAAAAGCAGAGGCACCGCTCGCTTCAGGGAGGAGGTGCTGGGGTTTTTCCGCTTGTTCCTGTTTAATTACCGTATCACCTTGGTAAACCTGGCCTGTGGAGTCTTGCCAAGCGCAAATGGCTCCTACTATGAAAAAGATTCACACAGAAAATTACAGGTCTCCACACGGAGAATTTTAGCAACGGCACCGATCACAAAACCACACAAATATTGCCCCCCACCACGCCAAAAATTACACCAAAGGGTAAGCAAAAGTCTCTGTCGGCCATTTCAGCACCTTTCACGCCCACTTGAGGACGTGAGAAATGATCGAATTTGATGAAAACGAGATATCAGGTGGGTTCATTTTCCTTTTGATTGCTGCGACAATCGGGACTGATGTTCGTCGCCCACAAAAGCCATTCGACAATTTACTTTGGCTCTTCAATACCCCAAGTATTTCTACCTCTGCGCCTCTTTTCCCAGTTGAATTCTACATTTCGCTAAAGTTTTTCCTGCATAAACCTACCCTCACAGCAGCCCACCTTTAAGTGCTAATAATAGCCCTCCATACAGCTCCCATTGCAGACGACAGTACGCACGTCGAGAAGCTGAAAGGATTCTTATCAGGCGCCGTATTGGGCACAGGTCCCCCCGTCCATAGCTTTTGCAACCGAAATCAACTGCCATTTCGAATGGAAAGGTACTTGTGCGCGCTCCAAGGTTAACACAAGGAGGACATTTCGTTAAAAGCGGCCAAAAGGTTTCAATCTTCAAACTTCCTCTTTTGTCCTCGCCTCCTAGCCTTCCATTATTTTCCCAATAGGTAGGGATTCATCTGCCGGAGGATGAAAACACTGTTATGAGGTTGTTTGCTATGACAACTGGTGTTTATCGCTCGAGTTGTGGCGAGAATGCTGAGTTATGGGCAAAACTAACCTGGTAAGAAGCACGAAGTACATGTACAGGCCCTGTTTGGGTCAAGCTTTCTGTGCTTAACTTAGCTTCCTTAGGATAGCTTATTTGAAACATCCCGCCTATAGCCCTTCATAAGATAACTGCTGTTCAATGCCGCAGTTCGCGTTCGTGAACTTATTGCAAGAATACTGATTTATAGGCAAAAATCTTGACCCCAGGCATCCTTCAACCCTCACTTCGCGCTTAAGGAGCGTGCCCCCCCCTTTGCTTTTCATGTCTAGGGCAGCTCTCACCCTCTCAGCTTTGACTTACATTTGCCCATAACTCTTCTGTAGTAGTTACGAGCTGCAGATCCTATCCAAGTGTAGATACGATCCTGAATTATGACGGAACACACGGAGCATCCCAAACAGGACAGGTACGCTGGGAAGTACCCAGCGGGAGTCGTACTCATCGGGGCACATCATTGGTTGGGGATTTTAGTGGACTCTATACGACCCCCCCCTTTTTTTCGGGACATAGGTGCGACCCCCCCCACGCCCTCTGGTCCCTTCCTCCCGAATCGAGTCGTCGAGTCGGGGGGGGGGGGGCGAGGAAATCAACTATCAAAATAAAATTTATTCTCAGCCCGAATATCGACCCCCCTCTCTGAACAAATACGACCCCGATTGGGGATTTCCAACAACGATGTGCCCTTGCGCGTACTTCATTCGCCGGGAGAGCAGGGAGATCGATGCTCTCACAGCAAAAAACTGTTTCTGATTTTATGACTCTTTTCACGCTGTCGTCTTACCTCCACCACTAGGAGACTATCACTGGAGATGGGCGGAGGGGGGTGTCTGCTACTGCCCCTGCAGGGGAGGGTCGTATATGTCCTAGGAACGTTTTTTCCGTGCGGTTAGAACAAAATTCTTCTGTTCGTTGACTTTTCTGTGGTTTTTCCCTTTCACACGTGCTGTACCCCCTCCCCCTGCACCAGCCTGACTTGACGGCATCCCCTAGACGGCAGCTTTTGGAGAAACCTGGAAAATCTTCGTGGTCGAAAGCTGAGAAAACTCAAAATGACAGTATGATGGTAGGTAGGATGAGGAGGTGGAGGGTCGTACCAGGGAGGGTTGGAGGGTCGAATTTAGCAGAAATGTTTCTTTGCGACGGTATGTGCCCTGATCCCAAAGGGCCCAATCAATCATTGCTGATCACATTAACAAATTTACCGACATTACATACCAGTCCCCGCGACGTAGCTACCGAAGAAGAACCGTTGCTAATCCGAATATGAGCAATCTGTTTACCGTCTTTTGTCTACACGAAATGACTCTGAGTCAGTCATTCGATCGACTTCCCTTCGTCAGGCTGATTCAGCTGGCCAGCGGATGGACCAGGGGGGAGCTTCTCGCGCACGGCCAATGTTTACCAAACTACTCGTGTTCTCATTCATTCATTTTCACTTTGAGGCGTTGTCGATTTCACCTCTTACACTCACACACACAGCAGCATTCAATTACCTCCGGTCATCGCCCCCTTCAATACACTCACTCACACACTCGGCTTGTCCATTCCTCGGCTACCGTAACGCTCCTTACAGAGGGACACACTGAAAGACGCGTGGCTCACGGACATTGTTCATCGACGCCATAGCACAAATACACACACCCGCCGACTCCGAAAGCATTGCTATTGAGAGGGTTCAGATCGGAAAGGAATGGTCCGTTTTGGAAGTACGAAACAGCACAGGCAAACAGGGGAACTGATCAAAGTTCTTCCAGGGCTGAGTTGTATAGGATCTCCGGTAGTGTAGACAACTTATGGAACTATTCCAGTTTCAAGTTGGTCAAAGAACGGAGGATTCACGCCCACCAGGGCACGTCCGCAAGGATCTCCAGCGAAGGGAGGGGTCCCGGATGATGGAGGATGAGAGTTGTACTTTTGCTTCGAGAGAAATTTCTGGTAGATGACTTTCTAAATTTGTGGTGTTTCAAATATTATATGCGCCCCCCCCTCCTTTTCAAAAAAATGGTAGGCTTGGAAGAGTTCCAGGGGATGGAGACAGGAGGGGGTCGTACCAGGAGAGAAAGAATCGTATTTGGCAAATACGCCCCCTAAATGGGAAGCACCATGGACACTAAAGACATAGTCGATTTCAGTGACGGTCACGAATATCGATTGCGACAAAGTCGGGCACAAATTGTCACGAATCGATCAATTTGGGGAAACTGTGATCGAAATTGACTTTGGTAAAGATGAACCTATCAGAAAACTTCTGGAGTTGTCTTATAGCGCCGCAAAAGCGGGCCTGCTTACAGATTGCCGTCGTACTGAGTTTTATCTACCGCTGTCGATTTTACAGGCCCCGAATGTATCGACTGCGACAGGGTCGTGCACAAAACGAACGAATATCGATTGGATTGCTGATCGAAAATGGCGCTTGCAGGAGGAGAACAACTTGTCACCTCTGAAGCCTCAGATGGCTATTGCATAGTGCAATAGGCGCTCAGCCGTCCTATAAGCAGGGACCTAAAGGAAAGGTACGCCGTAGATGGGAATCCCTTGCGAGGGGGTCGCATTTGGCTGGTGAATAGAGGGGCAGGACGTGCTCTGAGCCCAGGACCAATCTGAACCCTGCTTTGCTTGGACTGTCTTGCCGGTCAAGTTTTATTCACAAAAAGGTACTGTTAAGACGTTGAGCGTATTGCCGTCTTTGGAAGGGGGTCGAGCACGGTCAGGTGAAATTTTTTTCGCCGGTCTTTCCCATATCAGTCGCGCTATAATTCCTGGCCAGGACACGACGTTCACTACTTTTGGTGGCTCACCGAAGGATTGCAGGCAAGGCACCTCTTGCTTTTGTAGATATTTTTGCAAAATACGACCCCACTTGAAAGTTTCCTGCTCTGATACGACCCCCCCTTCCGACTCCGGTTCCCTGACCCTACCTG